GTGGTTCCCACTCTGAAGTATCGTAGGACGAATGCCTCACCTCCCAGAGTTGGCATGCCTTTGAATTAAAGGTGGCAGCGCTGCTCGCTGCTCGGGGGCCCCAGCTATATGCAGTGCATATAGATGTGGCAGAAATACTCATCCTGCCTCCTGGCATGCCCAGCTGCTGCCCTGCATCCCAAAGTCCTTGCTTGGCTCGGGAATTCTCCTGGACTGCTCTGTCCCGAAGCTCACCACTGTCCAGCTGCTGGCTGGCATCCAACACTAGACCCCATGCTCAGGTCTTCAGGGGGGTCATGCTGATTGGCCAGCCTCTGCGTGGTTTCCTGGGGAACCTCCAGTTCTCCAGGAAAATGGCTCCTGGCAGAGCATGGAAATTGCCCTGTTAGCATTCGGGCTTTTTCTGATGCTAGGTCAGTAGTATTCCAGGACGCATGCTTTTTCACTATTTCAGAGGTGTGCGGCTATTTCTTTTGCTCTCCTTCACTTTTCCTTGTTGAAACGGAATGCTTTGAACCCCAAACCCCTTTGAACGGGGCTCTGGCATCCAGGGAGAAGGGATGGTGGGGACTGGGCTGGTAAGAGGCTGGGATGACAATGGCAGGGGGGCTCGAGGCCAGAGAGGGCTGGTTGTGGAAGAAGTGAGGAAGGGCACAGAGACTCCGGTGCAGGTGGGATCTGAAGAAAGGGAGGGACTAGTGAGGGAAACAGGTGAGCTGGCTGGCCCCTCCGGACATCTGCCCGAGGCCAGAACTGCTTGCTCCCTTTTATCCTGCTCTGGGCACCTCTGAGCCTGTGGCTCCGGGAAATCGAGCTCTGCCAGCAAATGGTTCTCGGGAGAAGGCCAGGTCTGAGGATGGGCTCGGCCCCCAGGGCGGACACCATCTGTGTTTCCCTGCAGGGCCAGGGCCGGACTCCCGCCCCAGGCTTGGCCGTGCTGAGCTGCTGAGCAGGGGAAGAGGTGCCTCCGCACAATATGGCGAGGTTGCCGGCTGCACTGGCTTCACTCTAATTTGTTATGAACTCTTCTCATTTTGGCCCACAATCGCAGTGTTTATGTGGAGACTCTGAAATGCAGAGCATGGAAATGATGTTACTTAATAACACGGGGATACTGTGTCCTTTAAGGGCTATTTCATTGTTGTTCGTTGTAGAGCCATCATCTTTATTTTTTTTATTTAAGAAAGCATACATTATAATTTTTTTTAACTCACAGAAGCACAAAGAAAGGGCCATATTTTTCCTGCCCATATAATCCCTGATGACAGTACGGAAAGCTGGGAAGGAAGGGACAGAGGGAGAGAAGGGAGGAGGGAGAGAAATTCCATGTATAAAACCAGAAAATTTGCACAGTACAGTAAAGTACAAATAGTTTCCTTTTGAGATCGAAATAAGCTAACCCCTTAGGTCTCGGGAACCCAGTGGGGCTCACCTGATCAGAATGCAAATGAGGAACTCTGTGTTTTTTAAACCAGTAAACTTGGCGAAGATCTTCTTTTTTCTGGTTAAATGACATTTTCTCCTTTCACTTTCCCCCCACTTTCTAACTTCTACTTTGGATGCATTACACCTTTTGGAAGCTTGGAACTAAAAATGACTTTCCTATTGATGTCCCATTCCTCTCCCAAGAAATGAGTCTGTCTGTCGCCTTCTGAATTCTCAATCACTCCAGCCAGTGGCTACCTTCTCATTTTCTGCTTTTTTGCCTCTTGTAACGATAAGTGCACACATAGTGACCTTCTGACGTTGCTATAAAAAAGAAAAAAGAGGGAAATAAACAGTGCTGTGCTACCTGGAGAATAGTAAGGATTAATTAACTGGTGATGCCGGTTGTGTCCTTCGCTTCTGATGCAGGAAGAAGAAAATGGGAGAATGTCTCTTTTTTCCTATTTTGTTTGTTTTTCATTACACCATTAATCTCCATAAACAAGGCATGTTTTTTGTAGTTACAGATCGACTAGAAAAAATGCATATGCGAAACCAGATGGGTGAAATTAACAGTTTCATTAAACTGGTTTTCAAATTGCCAGTTCAACAATTATCACCAATGACATCATGGCTTGGATTTTGTGCTACAGTTAGAATTTGAACTTTAAAGAATGTGCAAAAAGGAGCAGTTTTACTCTAGACTTATTTTTTTTATTATATTCACTAGTGCAGAAAATTGTTTAGATGCTTTTGCAGAGAAAATACTGATTGGTACTGTTTGGGGGGAAATTTATTTTAATGTGTGAAAGCACTAACGAAGCCTTCTCAACCTGCCTACGTTTCCGTGTCGAGTGTTTTTGCGCTACGGCTTAGAGCTTCGTGAATGATCTCCCTTTTGCTCCGCACTCTCCAGCAATCCCAGCTACCTGCACACTCCGCTAATGATTTCTGGGGTTCTGTGCCAGGGGTCGGCGGGGCGAGTGTTTCATTTGGAGCTCCATTTGGTTTGGAGTCTCTTCTCTCCTCTGAGCCCACAAAGCCCGCGCCCGTGGGCACTCAGGCAGAACTCATCATCTCGGTTGGGGGTTTGGCAGAACAGGTGAGGCAGGGATGAGTTCTTAACAAAATGCTAATGTTGCCCTGCTCTAAGTGTGGACAGTAGGGCATCGGAGATGGTACATATTTAAAAGTAAACATATGGCCCGGCTGGAGTGGCTCAGTTGGTTGAGCATCATTGTCCTATGCACCGAAAGGTTGCTGGTTCAATTCCCGGGCAGAGCACATACCTGGGTTGCAGGTTTGATACCCAGTCGGGGAGCATCCGGAAGATTGATGTTTCTCTCTCAGATTGATGTTCTCTCTCTCTCTCTCTCTTCCTCTCTCTAAGTATTCCTCAGGTGAGGGTTAAAAAAAAGGAAGTTTAAAAGTGAACATATAAGTAAACGTATGCACAAGCAGAAGTAGGATTCACTTTGCAGCTCCATCGAGTGCTGCAGGCACTGCACCCAGTGAAGGTTCGCATCCTACCTAAGGGTGGAGCAGGATGGAATTCTTCTCTCAACTACGCAAAGGGAACATCCAAAATGAGATTGCCAGACTCCTGGTGGAAAGGGTGTTGTTACTCAGATATATCCCTACAGATGAGCAGAGGGAACTATTCAAGGATGTCCACTGCCATCTTGTTGGTTATAGCAAAACCAAGGGAAGCAACCCAGGAGTCTAAAAATAGAAAACTGGTAGGACAACAGCACTGCTTTAGAATGCAATCCTATTGAAGCTTTAGAATGAATGAGCTTCTGACAGCCCCAGGCAGATACTCAAGAGATATGATTAATTTAAAAGAGAGAGAGAGAGAGAGAGAGAGAGAGAGAGAGAGAAACATTGATTGGTTACTTCCCCTATGCACCTCAACTGGGGATTGAACCTGAAACCTGAGTATATGCCTTTACTGGGAATCGAACCAGCAACCTTTTGGATCATAGGATGACACTCAACCAACTGAGTCAGACTGCCAGGGCTGAGATATGCTTAATTTCTAAAAGTTGAGAGTCAGAATCTATAGGAACTTTTTGGAATAAATATGTGTATGTATATATGCAAAGAGATGTGTATATGAATTATTGTCTGTGCAAAGGAAAAGTCTGGAAGCATGTATACCAAGCTTTTAACAGTGTTTCCCTTTGCTATTAAAGAAGGCTTGGGAGAATATTTATTTAAATTATGAGAATCATTTTGCTACCCCTGACACGAAAACATTGAATTACTTGATTGTTTTTTCAATTCTTATTTTATAATGATTCTTCTTATTAAAATATCCAAAAGCAGCAGCATTTTCTCAAAATCTTCATTAGAATCATATATGCTGCCTATTTACAGCCCATTTTTAATTAGTGAAGAATACTTTAATGGAGTTTATTGTACTTTTGAAGCAAAATCCCTGAAACAATGACTACTTCTAATGATAAAGAGGGCACTATTTTTAAATCTCCTGAGAATAAATGGGTTTTAATTTGGGGGGCGGGGGAAGAAGGATAGGGACAGAAGGAACTTCTGTTTTTATTTTATATAAATCTGCACGGTTTTATTTTTATTTTTATTTATTTATTTTTTACAAAAAGCCGCTATTTCTTTAGGGATTAAAGAAATACAGAAAGAGGAGCAAATTCCCTTTGTTCAGTAATGTGATTTTTTTCTTAGCACCTACCGCTTGGGATGGAGAGAGTAAAGACAGGCCCAGCTGCTGGCTCTGACCCTGTGAGGGCTGGAGCGGGAGTGCCAGGAGCCAGGACATGTGACTTCTTAGCTCTGGGTGTAGGTCATGGGTGACCTTCCCCACAGCTTAGCCAAAAAGACACATGCCACCTCTCAGGTGGATCCAGAGCTGGGCTCAGCCACTCGCCAGCTATTGTAACCTGAGACAGGTTAATCGACCTCTCCAGACTCCAGTCTCCTCTTCCGAAAAAAAATGAGGATGCTAATTATAGTACCACCTCATAAAATTGTTGGGATTACATGACATAATTTGCATAAGTAACTTAACGCAGTATTTGACATTTTGTAAGCCTTCAATAAACGTTGACTAGTTATTGTATTTAGAAACCCACGAGGAAAATTGGAGACAAAACATAGGAAAGCATCTCAAAATAAGTTTCTATTGCTCAACATTTTACAACAGCACCTAGGAACTAATCCTGAAATAAAACACATTCGTCTTCAGAGAGTCTTAGAGGGGGAAAAAGTCTCTGGAAGATTCGGTGGTCCTGATTTGGTGATGACTTATCTGGTTGAATAAATTACTCCCAAGGCGCTATCTCAGCTATATAAGGCACATCCTTTTTCCCAGGATACTAGGCTGTCATTTGGTGCCAAAGGAAAAGCTATTTACAGAAAGACACCGTGGCATCCCCAAAGGGTTTGATGTATCTCCCCCATAAGGTGGTATATTTCAAGGCTCTCCAGAACTAACCACATTAATAACTTAGCAGGGTGAATTGGCTTTTCCCTCTTCTTTCGAAAGCCACGTCGATCCCATGGTAATTAATTGTGTGGGCTGTGAATTGTGTGCCTTACAGCACCAACGCACCAACATGAGTCCGTGTTGGAGATCGGTGGGATGATATTTGAGAAGGCTGCAAAGAGACTCTCCAGTGTTGATGGTCTTCACCAAATTAGTTCCGTGGTCCCCCTCCTGATGGATTCCAGCTGCTGCGGGTATCATAAAGCATCCTACTACCTCGCGGTCTTTTATGAAACTGGATTAAATATACCTCGGGATCAGCTGCAGGTAGAGTATTTCATGGGCTCCAGGGGTATCCATCACTGACGTTATATTTGCAGAGTAATGCTCTCATGCCCCCGGGAGACCTGGACAGGCGCATGCTCCCAGGAATCCTTTAGAATCTTTACATCAAGATCAACATCCTAGCCCAGCCGGTGTGGCTCAGTGGTTGAGTGTCAACCTATGAACCAGTAGGTCACAGTTTGATTCCCGATTAGGGCACATGCCCAGGTTGCAGGCTTGATCCCCAGTGTGGGTCATGCAGGAGGCAGCCAATCAATGATTCTCTCTCGTCATTGATGTTTCTATCTCTCTCTCCCTCTCCCTTTCTCTCTAAAATTAATAAAAATATATGTTTTTAAAGAAAAGATTAATATCCTAGGGCTGTGCTCAACACAGGCTCTGGCTTTCAGTGTCCCTTCCTAGGCTCTGGGATGTGACTGGTACATGCTAGGAACAGTTTGGGCAGGACTTACCAGAATCTCAGCCCTTTAAGAACAGGCGCCTCTTACCCAATTCTTGTAACTGCTCTGGCTGTGGGACCATTACCCCGTGACTTCTTAGCTAAGTGAAGTCATTTGGACCTAGAAACCAAGTATTGACACATCCAGCCTTCAAAATAGAAGCTATCCCAGGCAGTTTCGTTTTTGGTTCTGGATCCGGATGTATTATGCCACTTGCGTAACATTTGGAATCACGTTTGTGTTAAGTACTGCTGAACGGTCCCCGGTCCCCTTTTTTCTGGATTTGTTCATCTTGAGTTTGGAGAGTCATACTGCTTAGACATGCCCAGGTGGCTCCGTTTTTTGTTTTGTTTTTCAATGACTTCTTTGTGCCTGTCTCTGGCTTGTAGGAGCTCGTGAGGGATGGCATGCTTTCCTGAGTCCCTGAGGCAATCCTCAAAAGGTGGAATAGTCCAGAAGATTCTAGCCCTGTCTCTGTCACAAAGTGGCTGGCTAGTTGGCCATAGACAAATGACTTCACCTCTCTGGGCCTCTATTTCCTCAACTATGAAATGAGGTTGTTGATCTCAAAAGACCCTTCCTAACACTGACATTCTGAGAGCATGAGGCTGGGACATGGCCCAGTCTTCAGATCACCTGGCCATAGATGATGTAGCTGAAGCAGACCTAGAGCAGTCGACTGATACACGGAGATACTGTGAGAGAAGGCAGGGAAAGCCCTGGTTTTCACTGAAGAAGGGCAAAAATCAAGAAATTTTAAGATATTAGACATTTAGAAGGACAGATATCTGGGAATCTGTAAGCCATGAGAACGAGGCTGTCCCTTCTCTAAAGAGATTTTTAAGGCCTGTTAATGTGCTTTGGAATGACTAGGATCATATAAGGACAGGGCCCATGACCTTTCAGTGGTTGGATTTTAAGACCCTTATCTCTAACCTTCCAAATACTGTCCATTTCTTCCTAACAGGGCATGTTGTATAGTTTGGTTGGAGGCCAGGGCAGTGAGAGGCTGTCTTCAATGAATCTTGGATACAAACACTTCCAAGGTATTGACAACTACCCCCTGGACTGGGAGCTATCCTACGCCTATTACAGCAATATTGCCACAAAGACACCCCTGGACCAGCAGACGCTACAAGGAGATCAGGTACAAAAGACAAATGGGAGGAAGTGGTCATGGCCATGCCTACCAGGGCTTCCTGAGTTTTCATAAGGTGCCTGCACCTGTGGCTGTCGACCTCCACTGGCCTCCTGAGGATGAGTGTCACTGCATGGAGAGAAAAGCTTTCTTGCATTCTCCACTTCCTGTTTCCTGTCTGTCCTCTCAGGCTGAGTGTAGGAACAATCCTCCATGTAGCCATGAAAAGCTTTTCATGAATGGGATGACTCATACACCAAGGGTAGATCTGGCCCTGGACGGATTTTGATTTTGCAAGAAAATGTGTACCACAAATATAGGTGTCTGGACTTTGTTCCAAGACCATGTGACATGGTAGGTCTGAAGATGTTAGGGGACATTGCATCAAATGGAGGGGGGAGATAGTAAACCAAGGGCTCCTATCAATATGTAACGAGCAAGAAGGGTCTATGACATCAGGAAGCAAGCTCCGTCCCTAGCTATGCTCCCACTGCTGGGGGCCTTGAGAAGCGTCTATCCCCATTGTGTAGCCTTACTGGCCCAGTGCTCCCACGTGACTGACAGCATGTGACGTTCACACTCACTCCAGCCCCTAACTTTCCAGGCTCCCAAATATTTTTGACTCTTTGGGCAAAGCTATCAATGGCTCATATCAACTCACAGAGCATAATGTGTTATGTTAGACCAGTGGTCGGCAAACTGCGGCTCGCGAGCCACATGCGGCTCTTTGGCCCCTTGAGTGTGGCTCTTCCACAAAATACTGACTTCTGTGCATGGGCCACGAAGTTTCAATTGCACTGTACATGCGTGCCCGCATGTGGTATTTTGTGGAAGAGCTACACTCAAGGGGCCAAAGAGCCACATGTGGCTCGCAAGCCACAGTTTGCCGACCACTGTGTTAGACCAACCGATAGTTGTTTCCAGACGTGTATGGATGGCAGCCAATAAAAGGGTACAAGGAAAGGAGACAGTAAGAGTAAAAGGGAGGCTGTCTCTAGATGACAGAGATTTGTATCCAGCGGGAGCAGACCCTGACGCGGTTAGCTTCTTGGAATGTGTTTTATATATATATCCTCTTTCTCCAGAAAGGGTTTAAGATGTTTTGATGGTCTAGCACTTGAGATGGTCGAGAGGAAGCATGAGTAGTCTTACCAGGAGTAGGCATTGTTTTTCCGTAAAGGGACAGATAGTAAATATTTTAGCTTTTGCCTATATAGTCTCTGTTGCAACTACTCATCTCTGCTAAAGACAATCCTATGTAATAAAGAGCTAATATGCTAATTAGACCGGACGGCGAAACTACCTTCTGGAATGACCAGTGGGAAGGGCCGTGAGGCAGCCGGGGCTGCAATGGGCCGAGCCCCTTGCATGAATTTCATGCGTTGGGCCTCTAGTATATAAATGAAAGGGGTGCCTGGGTTTATGCAGCCTGAGATAGTATGTAAGCTGCTTTGCCGGGTTTGGCCTTGATCTAGGCCAGAAGCTCCTGATTTTCCCTGCTTATGCTGTGAGCCAAGGGGATGGACCTAGCTAGGTCAGGGTTGTAGAATCAGGCTGAGCAGCTAATTGGGAACCAGACCCCTCACTGTGCCCTCAGAAACCCACAGTGCAGAAACCGTGTGCTTTGATGATTGGGAATGGATGGTTTCCGGAAAAGAAATGCACAGTGACCACTACACAGTTATGAAATAAATGACTCGAAGATACATGCCGTCAGTGCACATTAAACATGAGTCAGGCTATAAAACACCAAAAGGCTGTAGGTGTAGACATCGAATTCCTTTAGAAAGTGATTTCTTTGCAATAAACTTACACATTCTTATCATCATCATATGTATTCTCTCAGTGCATATGAGCCAAGGGCAAAATTTGACCGCCATATGACAGGAATTAATTTAATTGATAGTTTTGTTTTTAATTCTTCTGAAAAAACATTTCATACAAAATCAAGCCACGAAATAATATTGCCATCGTTCTACTAAGCCTGGATATGGTTATGATGCCCTATATGTATAATATACTTTTAAGAATTCTAATTCAGCATAAATTAGCAACGGGAAATGGTATGTTGCTAACAAGATCCTCTCCTTTTGAAGATTTGACACATGAAACGTTATGATTATGAAAGAAAATGTTTAATTGGTCAGAACCAGCGAAGATGAATAGAAATGATCCATCTTGCAGCTGAAAAGTCGTCTGATTAAGAATGCCAGATACGAATTACACAGTTAGAAGAGTTGCATCATAGCTCATTTTCTTAAGAATGTGTAATTAATGGCTGCTTGAGAATCTAAGCAGGTGTCATACGTTGATGTAAATGTCCTTTTGTCGAGAAATCTATTAGCTCGGCAGCAGCACGTAACAGAGGAGGAGATCTGGGAGGCCAGACCTCTAATTAACAAGCCGAGGATCCGTCAGAAATTCTTTTCTTGATTCTTGTCTCATTGTCTCTTTTATGTACCTCTCGGTTCCCATCACTTCATCTCCTTTATGAGGACTCTCACTTCACGTCACTTCTTCACGGTTTCATGGGGCTCCGCTTCTGATTGCAGAGAAAGAAGATGCTCTTGGGTTTTGTTTGTTTTTGTGGCTTAATCACAGATGAGTTCCTCTCAGTTTCTCAGTACTAGCTTTTCCGCCACATTTGGTCCACAGCCTCCTCTCTGTGTGCCTGCTAGCGGGCAGGGGTCTCAGCTCACCCACACCCCTGCTTTCAAGTCCTCCGCATGCTGATGATGCTCACACATTCCTCTCCATCTGAGCTATTTCTTACGCCCCGCATCTGCGATCCTCACATACCACAAAGGCAGCCCAGCATCTCCTGCCCTCGTTTCCCCACAAACACCGTAACCGGTGGTACCATTTCCCATGCTAGCGACTGGGGTGTCGTCTTTGATCCCCCGCCATCATCCGATCAATCACAATCCACAACAGCTTTCATGCCAGTCTGTCTCTTCCCATTTCCATCCCTGCTGCCACAGCCTACATTTGTCCTTCATCGTCTCTCCTCTGAGCTGCTGTGACAGCCTCCTGTAATGGGTTGAATTATGTGTCCTCTCCCCAAATTCATACGTAGAAGCCCTTGCCCCCAGTACCTCAGACTGTGACTGTACTTGGAAATAGGGCTTTTAAAGAGGCAATTGAGTCACAGTGGAGTCGTTAGGTGGGCCCTAATCCAGTAAGATGGTGTCCTTACAAGAAAAGGCCATGAGGACGCAGACAAAACAGACAGAGGAATGACCATGTGAGGACCTGGTGAGAAGGTGGCCATCTGCACGCTAAGGAGAGAAGCCTCAGAAGAAACCGAATCTGCTAACATCTCGGACTTCTGGCCTCCAGAACTGAGGAAACAAATTGAAGCACCCAGCCTGGGGTATTTTGTCACGGCAGCCCTAGCAAACTAATATACCTCCCAACTGTCACCAGTCTAGTCCCTTCCCATGCTCTTCTCATTCTTACGGAGGCCATAGTGGGCTGTCGACAGTGGAGGTTCGAAACCTGGCTACGCATCACAATTACTTGGTGGCTTAAAGAACACATCTACACAGGCTCCACCCCATAATCTTTTAGAAGTGAGGGGGCCCAGACGTATAACATGCATATATATATGTGTGTGTGTGGATATGGATGTGTAAAAGCTCCTCAGATGACCCTAATGTGCAGCCAGTGTTGAGAAGTACTGACCCAGAGCACAAGGTCCAGCTCATCACGTGGCATAGGAGACACTCCTTGCCCTGATTTCTCTCTGCTGCCCCAGCCTCAGCTCTCAGTCATCCCCACCCGGCCTGCCCACCCAGGAGAAACTAAGCTTTTGGCCACACTTCCTGGCCTTGCTGGGTCTCCTCTGTTGGGGTCCTTTCTCCATGCTCACCAGCCTTTTCCCACCTGCTGACTCCCCTCCTACTTGAACACAAGGGTCAAACTTCACCTCCTCCTCCTCACCTTCCTTTTACTATGGGGCTTTGGAACAGGGCACCTCCCTGCCATTGCTCTTATGGTGAGTGTTGGGTACGTGGTCATAGACCGAGCTTCCCCAGCAGACTGTGAGCTCCAAGACAGGCACCTGGTCTACTCACATCAGTGGCCCCAGTGCCCAGCACTGTGCTTGACATGTAGTTGGCGCTCAGTGTTTACCGATCGGATGATGGACAGGCTGGGGGTGCAGAGTGTCCAGTCCAGTGATGAACACAAAGGGACTGTAATTTCTTGTTGACTCTGGTGCTTTGTGATGCAACCAGTGTTTGTTGACGGCCAGTACCCAGAGCAGTGGCTGTCAACTCTGTCTCTCTTGCGTTCAACACCCGTTAGTATGCGGCACCCCCTGTTTGGGGAATCTTGGGTACTTGCTTTCTTGTCTCTCCATAGTTACTGACAATATTCCCTCGTTCTTACTTTAAAATCCCAAAATGTTACATTTCAACAAAGAACACACACACCCCTATTAGGAGCCAGCCAGCCATGATAGCTGATTTTAACACACACACACACACACACACACACACACACACACACACACACACACCCGCAGGCAGGTGCACAATGGGGGCCCCCACAGGCCCCAGAGGAGGTTAGTGGAGGTCACTGGTTTAAGTAGAAGCCCTAAAACGGCCCTGCACTGAGTTCCCCAGAGTCCTGACTGCACCCTCACATTTCACGCCCCCAGAGAATGCAGGTGATGGGAAGGAGCGATGCTGAGGGCCTTCGCACCCAGCTGCAAAGTTGGCGGGTTTTCCTTGCATCCTCTTTTCTCTGTCTCTTCCTCCCTCCCTCTCCCCTGCCCCCCACTGTTTCCCTTCCTCTCTTCCTTTTTTCTTCCCTTCCTTTCCTTCTCTCCTTTCTTTATATCCCTGCCTCATTTTCTTCTTTCTCTCTCCCTCCCCGCCCCTCTCCTTTCTCTTTCTCTCTCTCTTTGAACAAGTTAAGGAGGAGAAGAAGAAAAATAACTCAAAATCCAAATTCTCTAGTCGGCCAAAACACTTCTAGGTGAGAATTCCATTATTTGAGCTGCTCAAGTTTCAGGAGGTTATAGGCTTGTTGCAGATGATTGTGTCCCTGGAGTTTGAGCTGAAGCACCCGCTCATTGGCCAGACGGTTGGAAGAGAGTTAACACGAGAAAGTGGCTCGTGCCCAGGCAGGATTCCAGGACCTTCTCACTAGAGGACTTTGTGAGGGAGCTGATCAGAGCCCTGCCTTCAGACTCAAGCCAACATGGCTTCCAGGGCCAGCTCTACAATGTGACCTTGGGTTCACCTACTGCACCTCGGTTTTTTGCTTTGTGTATAAATTAAGGACAGTGTTATTTGGGTCACAGCTCTGTTGTGAGTACTAAATGAAAAAAAAACACAAACCAGTTGTTAAACTTCCAGCACACAGTTGGTTTCAATAAGAGGTTGTGAGCATCATTATTCTCACTGTTGCTCTTTGCTTGGTGGCCTCCCGAGTTAGACATTTGGCAGGAATTAATACCTGCTGGGTTCTGAGTCCTTGCACTGTCCCCAGTCTCAGTGCCCCAGTGCCTGAGGGACCTCTGACTCCACATGGTGACAGTGGAGAAGGCAGCTGAAAGACCTTCTCAGGAATAGGGTTGTAGGCAAGTTTGTGAATCTAAGTACTTTTTATTTGTTTTTGCTTTTTTGTTAATCGTCACCCGAGGATATTTTTCCATTGATTTTTAGAGAGAGTGGAAAGGAGGGGGAGAGACAGAGGAGAGAAACATCAATGTGAATCAGACATATTGATCGGCTGCCTCCCACACATACCTGGCAAGGGCCAGGGATGGAGCCTGCAACCAAGGTACGTGCCCTGGACTGGAATCAAACCTGGGACTCTTCAGTCCTTGGGCCCATGCTCTATCTATTGAGCCAAACCAGCTAGGGCATAAGTACTTTTTAAAACTAACCAACAGAGAGGCCAGAAGGGAAATCATCTCCTTGTTCTCTGAGGCTTCCTTCCCAAGCTCGCCCAGATCCAATTTTCCCACCCTTTGCCCGTGGCTGCGCTGGCCTGGGAAGCCCTCCTCAGGACTCCTCGCGGCACTGCTGATAGATTCATTACGCCTAAGGGGAAGCCGTGAAACAACGGGACCAGTTTTTTTGATAAACAGCCAAAATTTAGACTTCAAAATGAATCTTATTTTCTTCAGAGGAATCAGAGACCTGGGAGGCTGTTCACAAATTCAAACCTTTTGTGAACTTTCTCTGCGGGTTGGTCTCCAGCGCCTCCAGCACATTCCTTCGCATCCCTGAGCTAACCTGCCCTCTTCTTTGTGAGGTGGATTGAATTTTTGGAAATAGCCCAAAGATATCTGAAGCTGAGCCTGCTAAATAAAAAGGATTAGTCATGCAGGATAATAACACTTTGGGATAAAAAAAATAAGGTTATTCTTAGAAAATATTGATTTATCTTTTTTGATGCTACGTGAATCTGCCTCTGAAATTGGAGGCACAAGAGCAGACTTCTGAACACGCTTAAGCACCAGAAGTGGAAGTGGAATAAATTGTGTCCTCCCAAGGCAAAAGCTTCCCCAGGAACAAAAATCCTCGTTTAGATACATTGGCTGTGATGCATTTGTTTAGAAAGAACTTGATCTGATGACATATAGAGTGGACAACCCTCACATATCAATTATTCATAGAGTTTTCCTTGAGCAATGCCTGGTTTAAGAATAACGTCCCATCTTTTGCATGCCCATATCATTTAGTTTCCTGTCTCCTTTTCTTCCTTTCCTTCTTCTCTCCCTCCCTCCTGGCCTCCCATCCTTCCTTTCTCCCTGTTTAGGCGTACGTTGAAACAATTAGGCTAAAAGATGATGAAATACTCAAGGTACAAACCAAAGAAGATGGGGACGTCTTTATGTGGTTGAAGCACGAAGCTATCCGAGGCAACGCGGCGGCTCAGGTAAGGATGTGGCCCACTGTCCTGAAGTTCTCCGTGGTGACAGACCAGGCTATGCCATGGTAACAAAATACCCCAAACCGCAGTGGCTTAAAACAGTGCTGATTCATTCCATGCTCACACTACCTGTCCAATGGGCGTTGGTATGGGCTGTGCTCTCACAGCTCCAAGGAACTCAAGCTAACAGCACAGGCTGGCTCTTGACGCCTCTTCTCAGAAAGTGGCACAAGTCACTCCTCACATTTTATTGGCCAAAGCAAGTCACTTGGTCACTCTTGACTCCAAGAGGCCTGTCATGTAGTCCTGCCCTGAACACAGCAAGTGACAGCGCCACTGTGTTTATGACCAGTCCTAAGACCACCAGTGGACACTTCAATGCATGAGACAGAAACAAAATGAAGCACCTTGGGGTGCAGGAGAGACTAGATGGGCATCAGGAAGGCCATGAACTCAGCTAGAATAATAGAAAACCATATGCCAAAAAGATCGACCCTGTCTCTTGAACATGTCTTGTCTCTGGATGGACTTTTAAGAGGTACTAGGAAGGGCAGGGGGGCTGGAGAACGTCCCCTACCTGCCTTTTTGCCTTGATTTCACTATGAAGCTGAGCCCCGGATGGGAGCCGGCTAAGGCTGATTGCCCCAGGAGGGCGGGGCCTCCTTCCCAAAAGATTTAGCTTTGGCTTCATGCTCCTGGTGAGCACAGTGTCGAGAACAGCCTCTAGGTCTGCTAGGCCAGAAGACCAGAAATGGAAAGAGAAAGGAAACAGCAGAGAATAAACACATCGACAGGCACACATTTCAGACATTCTAGTAACGGGTCTCCCACCCTCTGTAGAAGTCCTCCTAGCCTTTCAGGAGAAACTTCACTGGAAGTTTTATTTGGCAGAGAGTGGGTGGGGGAGGGGAAGGGAAAAGAAGGAGATGAGAAAAGAAGCAGAAAGAAGGCAAGACAGTCAGGGGCCCACATGGGGCCAGAATGTTAACAGACGTTGCCACTGGCTCCATTCGCGGGCATCCGTCCCTAGCCTGCACACTTTCTTGTGCAGGAAGGAGTTCCAGTGCATAGTTCTGGAAAGGCCCCAGCTAGGGCCACTTCTGGGTGCTTTAGAGCCTGCGTGAACTTTCCCAGCAATGGACACTTCTTCCTTCCTTCGTTCACTTTGTTGAGTGGTTCCTAGGAGCTCTGCTGGGTGGAAGCTGAGGGGACAAAGGCAGACATATCACATCTTGGGGTTTCTACCCCCCCAGAGGGCTCCCAGTCTTGAGTATAATTGTGAAGCCAGCCTTGGGGACAAATGCTGGGCTAGGAGGAGATACATGCCATAGAAAGACACCCTAACTGATAGGGATGTACAGAGGCCTCTACGCTGTTCACTGGGCCAAGAGGGTGGACAGTACCTCTAGAAGGGGGCTCTGGAGGAGAGGAGACAATGTGCTTGTCTTCAGCCAGCTTTGGCCCTGGGTGCCGTTGATTCATTCATGCACATGGGCGTACACACAAGCACGCACGCACACTCAGATGCAGCATTTCCAACTTGTGTCAAGGATTTGCATTGACACAAGTCCACCTTTAGGGCTCTCCCACCCCCCACACCCTCACCCCTGTTGGAAGATAGCAGGTGTCTACCTCATTCTTGGTTCTCAGTAGGAAAACATTCCAAGTCAGCTTTGACCTTCCACCTTTTAAAACCTTACGTTGAGCATCACACAGGAAAGTCATTATTCTAAATTGTCTTGCAGCAACGCTTGGCCCAGATGTTGTTCTGGGGGCAGCAAGGTGTGGCCAAGAATCCTGAAGCGGCGATCGAGTGGTACGCCAGGGGTGCCCTGGAGACCGAGGACCCCGCGTTAATATATGACTACGCCATTGTGTTATTCAAGGTAAGCATCACTCATTTTGTGCTGAAGTTGTGCCATTCTCATCAGATGTCCAGAGCCATTGCCTGTAGGCATGCGTCAGATGGAGTCCAGAACTGAAGACACTTAGTGTACGCATCTGCCACTCCTAATGGAGAGGGGTATTTGCTGGAAGGGCTGTACCCTGGTCTCATTTTTAGTCATTAGTCTTATGTTTGGCACCTGGATTCTCTTTGCTTTTGCCAGAGTTGTGGCATTCTGGAGGAGACACCCCATGTTTTATGGATTGGAATGTGGCCGCCAGCCCCCAAGGAGCTGCAATTTTGCCAGCAGGCAGCATCGTCATTAAATTACAGCATAAAGTGTGTGTTTGGGCTGCCTCCCAGCAGCCCTGTTGATCAAACGAAGATCTTGGTTTTAAGCCATAGGAGAAGAGGGGGACAAGTGGGCCGAGCGTTAGCCCAGGACACAGGATGGAGTTCAAGTCCCTCTTCTCCTGTGTCCTTAGAATTACCTGATCTCATGGGACAACAGTGAATTAAATACTATGATGAATGGGCCTTGAGAACCATAAAGCACTGTGTGTTTTATACAAAACAATAATAGTTCACAGTGATGGAGCATTTATTACCTGATTTACATGTATGAACGCGTTCAATCCCCACAGCAACCTTGCAAGGTAGGCACTGTGGTGTATTATTATTGCTGCTTATGTATATGGTAACAGGGGCACAGAAAGTCTTTGTAACTCACCCACCCAAGGTCACACAACTGCTACATTTCAAACCTGGGACTGGGACCCAGGCAATCTCCCCCCAAACACAGAGACATCAGTTCACCCATCTGGGAAACGTGAAAAGCTGTTGGCTCCGGTAAGGAAAACCTTAGACCCTGTGTCCATGCCCAAAGGAAGCAGCTGCCCCCCCAGATAGCAAGTGTCTTCACACAAAGGCGTGGATTCATGTGGCCAGGCCCACCTCCAGAACCACAGCTGTGGCCACTCGCTGATTAACAACCAGGACTTTTCTACGTGTCTAACCTTCCAAAGCTTTAAAACCTATTGGTTGTTATGGTTTCCAAATTTATAGCCTGGACTTTCTCTTTCCAGTTGTCAAATCAACATAGAAATGGTTTGACTCTTAGCCATATGCCAATACATTCATGTATTTGTTCAATAAACACTCATTCAGGGCTGACAAAATGCCAGGCTCTGGGCTGGATGGAGGGACATATGGATGCATGAGCCACATTTCTGACCTCTGGGGGCTCATGCACGGATGGGGAAGGCAGGAGATACCGGCACAGAGGAGAGGCACTTGTCCAGCAGAGTTGGGGCTGGCCACTGCCCAGAGTGCACGATTCAGACCTTACTTCTGCCCACCAGGAACTCGCGATCTATAGAGAGAGGCAGACACATAAATAAATTACTCTGCAGGTGACAATGTTTCTCCCAGGTCTAATTTCCCAACCCTTAAAGCTTTTTTGATTTTCCTGCATTTTAACTGAGTTATTCCTAAGTGGGACGAGGGAAGCCCTTGATCAGCAATTAAAGGAAGATTTTTAACCCTGGCCAGAAGGTCTCTTTAAGTGTATTCCGTGCAAAAATCCCCATACAGAAAATGGGCTTTCCAAATGGGAAGTGCAGTAACGTGCACTTGGCTCATTGTATTGTGTGGGTGTCTGGCTGATTGTAGTCAAGGACAGCGCCATGCTGGTGGCTGTGGTTTGCCCACGACAGCCAAGTCCATCCCACTTTGCATCCACGGGAAAATGGAGCTTTGACTTTCACTGCATAACTGTCCTCAATGAATTCATTCGGTGAATATTACTGGGCACTTACTATATACCAGGACTTTACACTTCTCTCACTTAGCTCCTTCCAATACTACTCAGATTCTAGTATAATAAGTAGTCGTTGTGCACAACATTATTTCAGTTCTGATTAAGTAACAAATATACTGGGAAATCCAGGACCTAGAAGTCAGAGTACCTGGGTTCTAGTTGCAGATGTAACTGTGGGTTTTCGGATAAGTCAGCCTCTCTGAGCCCCAGTTTTATTTCTTCAAAATAAAGAAGATGGAAAAGATCAACTTTGGCTTCCACATTCTGTGATTCTGGTGCTTTCCCAGAAGTCAAAAAAGGTTGTGCCATTGCCATCTCCAGTTATTCCAAGTAGCCTCATGTCCCCTTCCCCCTCCTCTCCCTCTTTAATTAAATGAAGCAATGGTGCACTTCTGAAAAATATTTTCATCCTCCACTTTGCTTCAGCTCATCGGTTTTACTAAATAGGTAAGTTAAAGTCTAATAGAAACGTGGTGTGTATAATTTAACCTGCAGCTGGAGTCACAGTTTTATTTTGGGTCCTGAGAAATACAGAGACAAGCATAGTCGGCGTGTTTTCTGTGTCCTGCGAGGAGGTTATGAACCGTTATACTTTCTCAGCACAGAACTGAAACGTACGGGGGGAAATGCGGTGTGGGGTTCTAAGCTTGGGCTCTGGAGCCCGCTGGCCTGGGTTCGAATCCTGCCTCTACGTCTCACTTGCTGTGTGACTCTGGGCAGGTCTCTCAGATGAGAATGACAGCCGCACCTTGGCGGGGTTGCTGTGAGGGTTAAAGATGATGGGACAGTGCTCGACCCTCGTTAATTAACACAGGAATGTTTACTCCTGCTGTCCCCTTTACTATAGAGCTAAGTGTTTAATTAGAGTTAAAAGTGGGATTCATTGCAAAGCCTGCTCACCTCATATTACCTGTGACCCCATCAACCACTCCGAGGGGCATGTGCCGGGGGGAGGGGTGTCCATAACAGACTCTGAGTGAGTTTGCTCTCTTTGCCCGCCATCCTCCTTGTCAGAGCCATGTCAAGAGAGACCTAAGGGAACCCCCTTCCTCCCTGTCTCATTCTCAGACCCAGCATTTCCCCACGTGGTCCTGCAGAGAGCTCAGCACAGTCCCATTGAGGTCCTCTCTTGTAACAAGAACTTCAAAGCCGTTTCTCTCTATGGTGTACAAAACACCGCTGCTGGGAAAAGTTGATTTTACTGGAGGAACCTTGTTCATTTCTGTCAGTGTCTGACACAGCCAATTCCAAGGGTCCTTACTCCTTCAGAGAAGTTCTCAAGCTGGTTCTGAAGCCACATGTCCCACCCTGGGGACTCCGGTGAGGACCTCGGGGGCTGCAGATGGCAGCCTAATAACTCTTTCCTGTTGGACACAGATCAAGTGCTTTGTCTGGCTGCAAACTAGGTGATCCCCAGAGAAACACATCCAGGATGACCACACTCATTCAACCTCATTCCCGGCATCTCCCAACAGCACCTGTGGGTTGATGGGCATGCCTGTCACTCAATGATAAATGGGGGCTTTTGTATGGATGCTGAGCTGGGAGGCTGAGGTTTGCTGCCTCTGCTCCACAGATATGAGCAAGATGATGATGATGATGATGATGATGATGTACAGCACTGCTTATAGAAACCTTTAAGATGGGATTTATAATTCAGAAGGCTTGGGTTTTATTATTTTTTTAAGTATTTTGTATCAAACACCAACGTATCTGTGTGATATTTTTGAGTGCACGCTGAGTTTCTTTTCTTAGTAATCTTTGCTGTTTATCATTGTTTAGGGTCAAGGAGTGAAAAAGAACAGACGGCTCGCCTTGGAGCTGATGAAGAAAGCAGCTTCCAAGGTAACACTTTTGCATATTGTCAGAGGAAAACATTCGCCACACACACACCCATTGGGGAGAGGAAATGGCCAGCGTCTCCCGACAAAGCCCCAAGGTAGAAATGGGGTGGGGAGGGAGGGCTTGTGAGCATTGCAACATTAGTCATTTTTGAGCTACACACATACAGAAACCCGCTACAATGGGGACGGCCGCATTCAAAAGCGGAATTCACCTGCAGTCAATAGAATTCAGGCCGATTTTGTTTGAAGGCTAAAATTATAATCAAGGCTGCCCATAACAAGCAGCAGGGGCTCCTTGAAAGTGAATGGATATAAATGCCATTGAATTAGGAAAACCAAAAGCCTAATTCCCTGAAGGTTAACCCTGTCATGGCCAATGCCCACTTGTTTGAATAACGAGGCTGTTTATCAAGGGTAGTGCTGGGTTTAGGAATTATTTTGCTTTTGTCACTATTTACTCTTCAATGTTGTCACCAAGCCAGCTACTTGCGATATAGAACTACAGAATGGGGGTTAGGATGTCCCCTGTTGAGGGGACACACACACACACACACACACACGTGCATACATATCCCTGCATGGAAACATATGCCCGATGCGTGCCCACCCACACATGTATACTCATGCACATGCATATAGATTTGCAAATAAATGGACTTGTAGAAACCACTGTAATGTTCCAACCTTACCAGGCCCTTGATAGCCCTTCTGGCTCTTGACTGTTTCTCTATCCTCGAGGCCGCTCATGTTGGCCTCTCACAAAGACTCCTGCAGGAACCAGGCTGCTCTTCCTCACTTCCTTTCTGTGGGGAGCTCCGAGTTTCTGTGTTTCTGTAGCCCTGGAAGTGAGGGCATGGAGTGAGCGAGCCACGAGGCTCTCCTCCACCTGTGTGGTGGCAAGAGGGTATAGGACCCAGGAGCAGGCAATCCCCCAGAGTGCACAGCAGCTCCTGACCCCAGCACAGGAGCAGGGAACCCCCCAGAGTGCACAGCAGCTCCTGACCCCAGCACAGGAGCAGGGAACCTCCTGGAGTGCACAGCAGCTCCTGACCCCAGCACAGGAGCAGGGAACCCCCCGGAGTGCACAGCAGCTCCTGACCCCAGCACAGGAGCAGGGAACCCCCCAGAGTGCACAGCAGCTCCTGACCCCAGCACAGGAGCAGGGAACCCCCCAGAGTGCACAGCAGCTCCTGACCCCAGCACAGGAGCAGGGAACCCCCTGGAGTGCACAGCAGCTCCTGACCCCAGCACAGGAGCAGGGAACCCCCCAGAGTGCACAGCAGCTCCTGACCCCAGCACAGGAGCAGGGAACCCCCCGGAGTGCACAGCAGCTCCTGACCCCAGCACAGGAGCAGGGGACCCCCCGGAGTGCACAGCAGCTCCTGACCCCAGCGCTGGTCACGGGAGGCACCAGTTTCAGAGCGCCCTAAAGTGGGGCAGTGGGGGCTTTCCTGGCAGGTGTGAAATTTGCATCTCTGTGGCCATTCTGGCGGAGCACTGGTATCTGATGTGCTCTATTTGGGGTGTATTTTAGCCGGACTGAGATGAGCATTGAGGGAATTGCCGTTTTATGGCCTGGAGTAGTCACATCCTTCAAAAATGTTGAGTGAGTCTCACTCATTCCCTCTGCCGGGAGTTACTCAGCCCCTACTCTGCGTCAGACACTGTAGTGCAGGTTGCACCTAGTTTGGTTTTTTGAAATTAGCCAAAAGTCACTTGGAGGCAGACCTGTTGACCGAGCAGTAAATGTCCAGAACAAGGGATGAGTAAGAAATAAAACAAGCCCTACCTGTATAGAGCGAGCGTCGGCCTGTGCACTGATGGGTCCCAGGTTCGATTCCGATCAAGGGCATATGCCCAGGTTGCAGGCTTGATCCCCAGTAGGGGGCGTGCAGGAGGCAGCTGATCAATGATTCTCTCTCATCATTGATGTTTCTAGTTCTCTCTCCTTCTCCTTTCTTCTCTGAAATCAATAAGAATATTTTAAAAAATAAAATAAAACAAGATTTCTTGCTGGGCTCCTGCATTGGGTCCAAATACAATTCCTAAAGGAGTCCTGCGGGCATTGGGGTGATGGCAGGTACCTGTGAATGAGCCTGTGGCCTCTGGAGGAAAGCACTGCAAAGCCATGTGGGTGTGCCCGTCTGTGGGTCTGTCCAGAGCTGGCTCCTGCCTCTTTATACTACGGCCTGGTCTATGACGTCATTGAAATGCACGAGTTCTGCAAGGCCCATCGGGAGCCTGCCTTGCCCCTGGGACTGTGCGAGGCTCAAGAAGAAATGAGTGGATCCACGGCACGGACTCTTTCCCGAGCGTCAGCTGTCCAGGGACCCGCCAACCTGAACTCCCTCTGGATCCTCAGGGTGTCGGGTCTGGGTTCCATTTTGTTGAGCATCTGCATCCCGAGGGTGGCTTTGGTTCATCGGTCAGAGACTTTGTTGAGCACTGACTCTGTGCCAAGCACTAATGTAGGTGCCTGGAATATAGCACACAGGTCCTTGCCCTCATGGAGCTTCCATTTGATGGGCTTTGTTCACTTCTTTCTCTTGGTCTTCTTGGCCCCCGGATTCCACATGAGGACCAGGAGGGGTAGCCTTTGGGAGCTATGAAGACAGGAAAGGCTGCAGGCTAGGATCTTAGCATCTACTGTTAAGGGACACCCGGTCTTTGCTTGTGAAAAGGGAGGTGAAAGAGATTTGGTTCCACACTTGCTCTCACTTAACAAGCCTTGCAGATTCGAGGGCACTGTTTGCCCCCTCTCCTTTCCCCCCTGCTTGTTCACAGTCTCATGGTCTGGCAGGAAGGGAGGAATGAGCGCCGTATGCCTAGGTTTGCACACACACCACTGCAGGCACCTGAGCCTTCAACAAGTAGGCTGGAGGCTGCCAGTGGAAGCAGGAGGGAGCCCTGGGGAGAGCAGAGGCCACCTGAGAGTATAACTCAGCAAGAACAAGGAGGCTCGAGGCTAGAGTCACAAACCAGCCCTTCCCTGGTACCGGCCCCAGTTCAGACTCAGTTCTGAAACCCTCCTCCCTCTTTCCCACCCTCCCCTTCTGCCTCAGCCCCGAACTGGGACGCGAAGCAGTCACAAAGCACCTGTGCTTAGCAAGTAGGCTGTCACAGCTGCTTCCTTCAGAGGGTTTGTTGGTGTTCAGGACAGTCACCAACAGATGGGCAGACCGGTCACCTGGAAACCGTCCCCGCCAGGGCAGGTTGCAGCCGCCTGGTGCAGTCGAGCGCTCATGGATGTCAAGGGCAGCGTTGCTACTGCAGGACAATAAGAGGCTTTTGCAGACAAGGGCGTCGTGTCAAAGCCCAGAGGAGCCGATTGATGATTCGGGGCTAGCGTCACTGCTGAGCTGGAAGGCAGGAATTCCAGTGGCAGCCGCCACCTGGGAAGACTCTGAATCGGGCTCATGTGTTCTAAGCACTCAGCTTCTCTTTCATGCCATCTGCCCAAAAAAGAGACTGGAGAGGTTTCGTTTAGACTCGTGCAGAATGCTCTCACAACAATTGATTCTCTTTAGGTTTCATTAAAAAATAAATAAATAACAATTTTTTCTTGTTGTTCTAAAATCCAGGGATTGCATCAGGCAGTCAATGGTCTGGGATGGTATTACCACAAATTCAAGAAAAATTATGTCAAAGCGGCAAAGTACTGGTTAAAAGCAGAAGAAATGGGGAACCCAGACGCGTCATACAATCTTGGGGTCCTGTACTTGGATGGCGTTTTCCCAGGAGTTCCTGGGAAGAATCAGGTGAGTAAGACTTGAGACAAACTGGGCAGCTGGGCAGTCCCTCGTTCATGACGCCCCCAGTCCAGACAAGGCCCCGTGGGTGGTACAGACACCATCCAACACACAGATCACATTCTCGAGAGGCGAAAAGGTCCAGTTAGGAAGGTGGATAGTGAAGAGCAAAGGATGGCATTTAGCCAGGTGCCAAGAGTGTGCTAATTTATCTGACCCAAATAGTTCTGGAAAGGGGAAACGTTGAAGGCCAAAGCAGTCAGGAAGGCTTCCTGGAGGAGGAAGGCTTGAACTGAGGAGAGAGGGGGAGATGACACAAGGTGAGGATGTGCAAGAAACCAAGAGACAGTGTAGAGATTGAAGAGAGCTGGAAGAGAGCTGGCTTCAGGTAGGGTGGCCTGATATGAGAACAGATTTTAAAATAATGAAAATGACAGTTATCAACTTTAGTGTTTGTTGAGCACTTCTCTGCCAGACACTCACAGGGGGTTTAAATGCGCAGTCCCATATCTTCCTAACTACCTCTGAAATAGTTACTATTAAGTCCATTTTATAGAATAATCAACTAAAGCTCTGAAATGTATGTAACAGCATCATACACTTCTTGGATTCAGGACCTGGATTCCTATGTAACATGGAAGCCCCTCGTTATCCTATATAATAAAAGGCTAATATGCAAATTGACCAAACGGCAGAATGACCGGTTGCTATGATGCACACTGACCATCAGGGGGCAGATGCTCAATGCAGGAGCTGCCCCCTGGTGGTCAGTGTGCTCCCATAGGGGGGATGCTGCTCAGCCACAAGCCTGGCTGACGGCTGGCAAGCGCAATGGTGGTGGCGGAGCCTCTCCCGCCTCTGCAGCAGTGCTAAGGATGTCCGACTGCGGGACATCCCCCAAGGGCTCCCGGACTGCTAAAGGGTGCAGACCGGGCTGAGGGACCCCTCCCCCCCACACCCCAGTGCACAAATGTCATGCACTGGGCCTCATAGTTAATAATAATAATATTGATGATGATAATAATAATCTGAGT